ATTCTGAAAAATTATATTATGAAATAATGAAAAGGAAAGGAGGTGCAAGAAAAATATTTACATATAAAATATTACAAAAGCAGACAATAACAGAAAAATAAATTGGATAAGTTTGGATAATTTGGTGAAAGTGAAAAGTGCTTAAGAAGAGTCCAATCCTGACAGAGTCAGTGCCCTTCAGAATGACTTCTAGCATTTGTGCATAGTTCATTGGAAAATGGAGAGCTCTGAGCTGCAGATGCAGCAGGCTTTTGTGGACACTGGCGGGTGTTGCTGAGCCATCCTCTTCAATCACAGGAGACAAGGGGTGGTATGTAGAAGTGCAGAAGTGTTTAATTATGCTTCATAATGATTTTGCTGTGTACTTGGATGATATGAACTTTCAAAAAATCTGATTCTTTTATGAACTGTCGGATGTGCAGCTCTACATTGGAATTTTGCCATATAAAGTATGACTCCCCATCTCTTTACTGAGTTTGGGGTTCATCTGGCCTCATTAATATCACACACTCTCTATGTCATCACAAAAGCTATGCATTTAGCAAAGCTCACTCTTGCTGTTCATTGCAGAGCTGTATATGTGAAAAGGCACAGGGAGCAAGGGTATAAATATTTGAGGATGGCTTAACAACTTCAAATAGTCATCAATTCACAAAGTGAATAAAGATCCTATCAAGTAGATCTTTATAGCTGATATCTGTGTTTGGGTTATTCTAATATTCATGATTTCTGTGTATGTCACCAAAACAGAAGGTAAAGAGTGATCCAACCATTATATCCCTGATATAACACCTGTATCTCACATCAAGCTAGATCTGTATTTTAGGATTGTCCAGTCCTCCAATTCCCCTATCAGATTAGGTAAACTTCTGATGTGCAGAATACATTTTTTTTAATTTTTTCACATTCAGATAGGATAATGCTGATTTTCTTTCCTCACCTAAGCAGGGGCAATAGCTTGGCAGAGCCTCCAAAGACTATGACATTACTGAATGTTCTAAGATTTTTCATATGAAAATCTGCCAGTGTACGGCCAGCTTTAGAATGTTTTTTTTTTTTTTAAAGACGTTATAGATTGTCTGGGAGTAGATAGATGGGTAAACAATAGTGTTTTTCCTGGTCAGCATTTAATACTGCATATTCTAAACTAGGCATTTTTATTTGAGGCTGCCTCATTTTAGTTGACTTTGTAAAAGTAGAGGCTGTTCACTTAGCTTAGTAAATAAAGTGAAAGTGTGTTCACGTTAAATACCCAAACATGAAATTATCAAAAAAACTGAATTTTTCCTTGTACATTATTATATAATTGACGTTAATAATGAAAACCTCTTAAGTAAATCAACCCTATTGTATTTCAAGTTATAACACAGATTTCTGATTGTAATTAATATTCTAAATAAATGTAGTTCCAATGTAGAATAAAGGCTAAGTATGCTTTAATCCAGGGCTCAAAATTTCCACTCGCCCCCTCGCAATTGGCGAGTGAAAATTGCGTGGGGGCGAGTGGAAATCCAGGGGCGGAACTGCCGCCACTTCAGCAACGGTGATCGCTGTTTCAGTTTTCTCTATAGCAGTAGCGGCTGATGAGAAGAGAAAACTGACACAGCGATCGCCGCTGCTGAAGAAGCAGAATCAGTGCAGCACTGCGGTTGTCCTCAGTCCGTTGTTCTATCTAAAGCTTACCAGTCTTTCTGGGTACCGGAAGTGAGGTAGTTAAAAAAAACCAGGGGCGGACTGCCCGAGGACACGCAGCCAACAGGGTCCCGTCACTGATTGCTGCTTCACTTTGTTTTCAACCAGCCCAGCCTGCAGCAGTATGTGTCCCTCGCCCCAGGGCCCACCAGACTGTCCCATCGCCGCTTTAACACAGTAGCATCTCATGGTATGGCAGCGGGGGTTTGGGGAGGAGGGGGATCTAGGCTGTCAGAGGTGCTCACGATTAGCTTCTGCTCTCTCCTTCGGCTCTGAGAGTGTGCAGCCTGCCTGGATGATTAGGTCCCTGTCTGTTTCTCCCTAGGAGCTATAAAAAAAAAAACCTAAAACAAACATTTCCCGGTCATTAAAATTCCTCAGTGGCTGAGCCACGCTGTCTTCCCAGCAAAGTTCTGTCTGCCTTGTACCCACATGGCAGAAACGCTGTTGTGTCAGATTGGTGCTGGGATTACAGCAGCAACAGAGATGTGTGTGTACATGGGGGGAGACACACTTACAGCTCTCAGCAAAAGTTTAAGACCGAAAACTATGCCCAAAGATGTTGGGCAAGTGGAAGTAGTGCTGTGAACAATTCACCGAGTCATGCATGACATTCTCCACAGGGCTGATGCGTGCATTTTTGCACAGTTGGAAGTACATTTATCTGGGCTAACATTTCAGGGCCACACCACTGGCCTCTGTATTCTGCGTCACACCGCTGGCCTCTGTACTGTGCATCAACCCGGCTGCTCTCTGTACTTGGCATTACACCACTGGCCTCTGCACTCTGCGTTGTTACTGATCTCTGTACTCTGTGTCACACCACTGACCTGGCGGAGTTAGGGCAGGGGCACGGTAGCGGTTAGGTGGGGTAACTGGTGGCGAGTAACTCTTAAGGCCTGGCTAGTAGCTCAGGACTTGAAATTTTGAGCCCTGCTTTAATCTATAAGCTTTCTTTCTGAAATATTTGTATCACAATTCTGTTGTTCACTGTTTTCAGGGTATTTCTTTATGGGTGACCAGTGCTGAGAAAAAGACCCTTTGTAGGCTGGTATTTCTAATCCCCTCCTGGCAGTGTCATGACAGTAATGATCAGGTGCGGACTGACCATTCGGGCAGTGGGGCACGGACCTAGGGCCCGCGGCCATCAGGGGGCCCGTCACCGACCGCCCCCTCGCCACTGCCTCTCTGCCATCTGTGTCCGGTCAGCCCGTCCGCGTGAGATGCAGCTCTGTAATCGGCGACTGCTTGCTCCTCAAAGGTGTCCACGGCAGGTCCCCAGCGGGCGGCCCTCTACAATGCCTGATTAGCGGCCAGGATCGCATACGAGGCCATCCGGGCTGGCTGGATCAGGCATTGTAGAGGGCCGCCCGCTGGGGACTCCTAAGGACCCCCCTGAGCGGCCAGCCATGTTCACGGCTCCGCACACGCCGTACCTCCTCCCCGCCTCACGCTCGCCATTGCCAGACCTGCCCACCCGCATCCACATGCCGCACCTTCTCCCCGTCTGACGCTCGCCGCTGCCAGACCCGCCGGCATCCACGTTCCACACGCCGCACCTCCTCCCCGTCTCACGCTCACTGCCCGCACAGCTGCTCCAGATCTTGTCTGCTCCAGTTTTGATAAATTCCCCTCAATGTATGTATAATGTATTCCTATATAGCTGGTGGTATTCTGCATTGCTGTATAATGTATTGCTGGGATTTATAGTTCTATATAGCTGGTGGTATTATTCTACATTGTTGTTGTGCTGAGATTTGTAGTCTCTCTACAACTTGGAGTTAGTGGCAGAACTACAAGGGTCGCAGAAGTCGTACACACGCACAGCACTGAGGAGGCATCCCTCCACTACCAGCGTGCTTTAATTTTCCTCAACCGATACATTTCTCTGCCACTTCTCTTCCAGGTGCGCATGTCATAAGGAAAGGGGGTCATGAAAACAGCTGATTCGGATGACTCGGCCCCACAGGAAGTGACACAGTCGAGAAAATTTATAGGATCGAGAAAAATTATAGAACACTGACTTTGACACTGTCCGGCCCCTCCCACTAACCTCCCACAGCTCACTGCCAGAAGGATGAACAGCCAGCGGGGGTCTACAGTGGGTGAGAGTGCTTAAGTAGTGGACATGGAGCGGAGTAAGGCTAGAACCAGGTAGGGAGCCCAGTGGGAGGAGAGCACCATCCCCCAGTCGTCCCTTTCATGGACTTACTAGTGACTCCTCACCCGACCGTTCACACTACCATTACATGGATGGCAAAAGTGGCAGGCAGGGGTGGGGGAAGAGGCAGAGCGGGAGGGGGGCCAAGTTGCTGCACCATGGGCCTCTGGGTTGTACTTGCCCCTTTGCTAAAAGTTGCCAGTAAGCCCATGCTGTATTCCTCACCTGCCGGGCGCCAATAGCTGATTTAATTGTGGATGGCATCGGTGCCCGACGGTTGCGGTATTCAGGATTGTGGTCGGCGTTGGACTACATGTCACAACCGCGGGGCGCAGATGCCATCCGCAAATAAATCAGCTCTCTAGTACCAAACTAGTACCGTAGATGTGGCTGTGTTAAAGTGGCAGTGCCCCCCGCCTCCCGGGTCCAACAGACACTACAAACAGATCATATAGGGGAAATATCCAAACAATGATAACTGTCTCAGAGAGGATTTCCTCTCACTTTCTGTTGTAGCTATAGGACAGGTAGTAAATGTAAATGACATGCATATTGCCAAAAAAACATTACAGGGGTAATGTATATGGTGCATGGTAACACACACATAGTTGTGAATAGACCAATATATTTGATAGATGTGAACTATACACATAGGAAAGAATGAGGTCTCTACTTAACCTCTTGCCGTCCGCCCGTAGTAAAAAAACGGACGGACGGCAATGTCATGGCTTTTTCCCATAGTTCTCCTAAGGGTCACGGGACAGTTTCATTGTCACAGGTCGGCTCAGATTATGAGGCTAAGTGAAAATCACTCGCCTCATAATTCTCCTTTAAAATGTATCTGCATGCAGCAAACGTTTTGCTGCATGGAAACTAACAAGTGTAAATAGGCCCTCAAGGAATACTATAGTGAGGAAGTTTGAAGGCTGCTACAAATGACTTCACCTTCCTTCTGATACTAGTTTCCTGGCTATCGTGCTAATTCTATTTTTTCAGTACTAAGTCACTGATTGGGAGCAAATATGAAGGTTTTGGAGTTCTGACTTTATTCTGCCCATCTATACTTGCGTATCTTCTCCAGATCAGTGTCTCAAATTACTGAAGCCAGAAACAGCATGACAACTAGCCTTTCTTGAATGATGTTAACATGGCAGCTTGTGTATTTTATGCAGATGAAGGTACACACAATATATGTGTGTGTGTGTGTGTGTGCCCATACACCTGCAGATGTGCTGGCCACGCCTTTTACTTCTCCTTGGTGGGTGGCCTGATTTGCTGTATATGATGCTGACCATAGTGATGGTAAAATCTGACAGATATAGTTGTTTCAGGCAAGTGCCAACCATCCATTTTGTGCAGAGGTCAAAATAAACAGTATATTGCAGAAGCACATACAGGGAGCTGTTTTCCTTGTATGATCCCATGTTCCATCTTACCTGCATGACATCTGAGCAAAACACTACTGAATGGAAATGTCACCATAAGCCAAAAATCACGACAGTTAGTGGCATAAAGGTCTACATTTAAACCTTCTTTGCTGATTCTATGCATATTTAAGGGATTCATTATTAGTATCTCCCATGCCTTCTTTCCATTTTATCTTTTTATAATTGTTTTTTTTTTAAATCTTTTTATAATTCTTATTGTGGTTCCTGTTTGCAGATACTTTGATGGCCCTGATCACACCCAGAGTAACCCTAGAAGCATCATATATAGAAATGTGACTGATGGATATAAGGGCTGTATTATAATCATAATGTCTGTATTTACAGGCATTATAGCGATAGTAAACTGTTTACCCTTTTTATTAAAATTATTTACAAAGCCACTTTCCTTGGTACCTCATTATTGCAGGATGCTATAAAAGAACGAGCAATAAAAGAACGAGCAAACATGTAAGATCTTTAAAGTTGCTTTTATCAGTAAATAGAAAATTAATTGTTCTGAATAAACCTGGAAGAAATACTGGATCTCACTGATGGATAAAATTGAATATAGAGTCTGTAAGGGATTGGGGAATAACAGATGTTTCTTTTATGCTAGTCCCTTTTTAAATTTGGCCTGTAGTGGAATGTAATTTGGTTTCCTGCATTTGACACATACCATTATGCTCTGATAGAAATGTCATACTATAGCTTGTAAATTGAAGTGTTTAGGGTAGAAGCTAATGTAAACCATTCAGTCTCCACATGGATGACTTGCTTTCAGAGTAGTTTCATTGATCATCTACAGTAATCCCAAGAAATTGAGTCTGGCCAGAAGCTTTCTGTGTTTGTATATGTCAGTAGGTGGGAATAAGGAAAGATGCGGTTGCCAAATTTCCGAAGAAATAAAGCATAACTTCCATATTGAATACAGAATTACATTAAATTTAAACTGAGAGGATACTTCATTTTTTCAATGATTTTGGCACTGCTTAAGATTTAATGCACAACATTTTTGAAGGGTCAGCCCATCAAGAACTGATTTTGGAAAATGCTAAAGAGTAAAATTCCCTCTAGGGAGCTGTGGTGATCTCTACATTTGAGTACTCAAGTTTGCACATCTGTAGTAGCAATTACAGTATATGTGGCTTCAACTGCATCTGATGCATTTTTATTAATTCTAGAATGCAAAAAGAGAAGCAGCGACAGGTGCAAACATCTGTTTCGGTGCAGGAGAAATGAGAATTTAAGATGGTCAGAAAGAAAGCAGAGCACTGCTAATGAAAGAGCCTACCAGAATCCCTAAAATATTACTTTTAGGTTTTTGCTTTAAACATTTAATTCTAACATCATATATTTTGAGATAAGGGTACCTTAACCACCTCAGGGCCGGCCGTTGTAAAAAAACGGCCGGCCGCGAGGTGTATAGATTTGAGCAGGCGTCTTTAGACGCCCACTCAGTCACGCCCACCTGTGCGAGCCGCAGGGCGCGCGCGCGAAACAATGGCGATTTAAAAACAGGCACCGATGCCTGTTAACATACAAGCGATCCACCGGCTATAAACCCCGTGGATCGCTTGTATGAGCTGCTGGCCCGTGTCCCCCCCCTCCCTACGCGGCCCCCCCTCCCGCTAGTGCGAGCCCGGGACCACCATATGGCCTCTGTCACAGGGGATCAGAGGGAGCTTGGTACACGAGCTCCCTCCGGTCCTCTCTCTGCTGCCAGAATGCGGAAGTGATATATATTACATCACTTCCGCATTTTTAGCCCCCCTATGTGATAGCAAAAAAAAGTTAAGTGGGGAAAAAAAATGCAAATAGGAAAAAAAATTAAAGTTTCCAAAATAAAATTTAACTCGCACATAAAAAAGAATTAAAAAAAACTAACATGCGCCAGGTGCGCATACCTGCGAAAACGATGATTGCACCCATTATGCCGCACATGTTACATATTGCCGCGAACGTCGCAGTGAGAGCAATCATTTTAGGGCCATCAATCACTGATAACACTAAACTGATGAGCGGTAAAAGCTTTTAAAGCGTCGCCTATAGTCAATTTTGGGTATTGTAGTTTTTTGCGATTTCGCGGGTGCGCGCAATTTTTAAGCATGACATGTTTGGTGTCTATTTACCCGACATGACCCCGACTTTTATATTTTACCCAAAAATTGGGTAATAATAATTGTTTCCTAACATAATGTAAAAAACACTTTTTTTTCTAAATTTTCTGTAAATTTTCTGAAATATAGAAAAAAAAACCCCAGTGGTGAATAAATATCACCAAAAGAAAGCTCTATCTGTCCCCAAAAAATGGTATAAAATTCATTTCAGTACAGCGTTGCATGACGGAATAAACATCAGTCAAAGTACTGCAGCGCTAAATACTGAAAAATGGCCTGGCCAGGAAGGGGGTCTAAACACCTGGTCTTGAAGTATTGGGAGCAGATCTATTCTAAATAAGTCATTGTGCACAACATTGTACATCACAGCCATTTATGTGTCTCTGTGATTCTAAAGGCAGCCCTACACATTAGAGAGTGATTGAATCTATGGGCATGATCCAACTGTCCCCAGGCATCTGAAACTTTCAGCCCCACCATTAACAGGAGGTTGTTCACATGACTACCTTTCTTCAGCATTTTAAAAGGTGCAATAGTGTGCTATAGAAACCTCTGCTGACAGCTAATTAGAGGGGGAAAAAATAGTGATCACACAAGTCTTTCCAATTGTCTGTTTACTTCTTCCCCAACAAGCCTCAGCTGGCAATGTTATGATCTAATCAGCCTATAAAGAGCTTCTGGTCCAAGAGTGGATGCTGTCATATAGGGGTTAATTTAATTAAGGGAAACAGGCTGTTCGCTTTGCAAGTTCACCCTTAAGGTGCCCATACACGTTACAACCATCGCACGACTTTCATCGTGCGATGGTTGTAATGTAATAAAAAATTTGTACGATCTGCCCATCTTGGACAGGCAGATCGTACTTGCGATCACGTAAGCCCTCCGATGATTGCAGTGCTGAGCGGGCAGTGTGCGGCCCGTTCGGCATTTGTCTGCCAAGAACGCCACTAACCCGTACGATAATCGGCAGGTGTATGGGCACCTTAAGTCTATTGAAGGAGGTGAAGCTCTGTTCACTTACATCAACCAATCATGTGCAAGCAAAAATACTTATTTTTTTTATTCTCTTTCCACATGATTGGGTATTTTGTTTGCAAAGTGAAATTTCACCACATTCACTACGCTATAGGAAACTTCCTCAGCATTGTTCAAATTATCTTGCATAGTAAACAGCCTATATAACTTAAGTAAATTAACCCCATAATGTCTTTGGCCATGTTAAGGATCCCATAACATCTAACTACAAGTTGGAAAATATTGTTGCATGCTTTGTGAATAAACAATTGAGGCAGGGCTAACTCATTTATAAAGTTGGAGAATTTAATAGACCATGACCTGGAAAAAAAAAGGCAGTATATACTTTACTATTCCAGCTTCCAAGCACTATTCAGTTTTCATTTTAGTGGACCTTTTTCTTTAATATTTTTTTTTTAAATAATTAATTACTAGCTCACTCTGCCACTCTGCCAGCTAAATGTAATTTTGATAAAGCGTGTCTCTGTTTGTGTCTCTGTTTTCTGGTTTTCTATACTTTGCCCACCACTTTCTGATTGGCAGGATAAGGGATACTAACTTCCAAGAATTCTAAAAATTGAGCCCATGTGTTTTTTTAAGAGACAGTATGTGCATTGTGTTTCCAACTCTTTTGAAATGTATGTCTTAAATCTCAGGTGCTGCAGACTGGACCTCTTGGTTTAATGTAGACCACCCAGGAGGTGATGGAGATTATGAATTCATAGAGGCCATCCGCTTCTATTACCCACATGGCTTGTGCCCCAGACCTGTTGCCATTGAAGCTAGAACAACAGAATGGGCTACCCCAAAGGAGACAAAGGAAGTTGTGCACTCTGATCTAGATAAAGGTTTCTGGTGCATCAACAAAGAGCAACAGAAAGGTTACAACTGCTCTAACTACCTTATTCGGTTTCAGTGCCCACGTGGTAAGTAGATAACCTAGAATACTCACTTATCCATTTTCATCACTATATAGCCATTAGTATGAGTAGCGCAACTAATGAGAGATGTCAATACACTATATATATATACACATGTATATTATTATTTTATTCAAGATAAAATGTAAAGTAATTTTTTTTGTTTTAAATAGAGTGTGAAAGGGTTTAGGTGCTGCTATTCACTACTCATGAATAGCAAATCAGTTTTAAAAGCAGGCAAATTGGAAAACTACAGAATTGTCAGTGTTTAAATTCTCTTGAATTATTTTACATGCCATAGAATTATTGAATCATGGTTTTATGGATTTCCTAAAACGTGCCATATAATTCTTGATGTATAATGTCTATGGCCATGAAGTCTTTATTTATAAATAACCTATAAATATGAGTACTGTCCATGAATCATCGGAAATAAAGACATAAAGAGAAAAATAAAATATACGTGTAAGAACCAAATCAGACCATGCAGGTGAAAAATAAATGAAGTTTTTTACAGGCCTAAGAATAACTTTTGCATGCAACATGATGCATATGTGCTGTACCAATTAACATCATACGATTTACATAAACATTGTGCACTAATATCACTTTGTACCATGGCAGATCTGCTGTACTGGTCACACTGGACTCCATGGAGTACCTGCTCTTCATCAAGCTGTGGAGAAATGGGAATCCAGATAAGACGACGCTCTTGCATCACGATGCAGCCTGCAGTTACACTGATCCTGGAAAAATGCTTGGGTGAAGCTACAGAGCGAAGAATCTGTGTGTCTTCCTCGTGTGGTGAGAGTCATGAGGACTAAGAAAGTGAAATGATCCAGAGAATTTAAATATGCTGTTCAGCCATAACATTGTGACCACCCTCCTAATATTGAGTGGCCTCCCTCCTAACCCTCCTAATTTTGCTGCCAAAAATGGCCCTGACTTGTCGAGGCAAGGACTCCACTAGAACTCTGAAGTTATGCTGTGGTATTTGGCACATTATCCTGCTGAGAGATGCCACTGCCATCAGGGAATACTGTTTCCATGAAGGAGTGTACTTGGTCAGCAACAATCTTTAAGTAGGTGGTACGTGTCAAAGTAACATCCACATGAATGGCAGGACCCAACATTTCCCAACAGAACATTGTTTAAAGCATGATTTCCTCTGCCAGCTTGCCTTCTTCCTATAGTGCCCGTTGCCACCAAGTGTTGCTGCAGGTCTTTTGCATTATCAGGAAATCCTAGGAGAAACCATCATGCAGTCTGTGAGGAAGCTGAAGCTTGGGCGTCATTGGATCTTACAAAAGGACAATGATCCCAAGCATACCTTAAATTTCACCAAGGCTTGGTTGCAGAAAAAGTCCAAGAAGATTCTACAATGGCCATCATAGTCACCTGACTTAAACCCCATAGAAAATCTCTGGTGGGATTTGAAGAAGGTGGTTGCAGCATGCAAACCCAAGAATGTTAGTAAACTGGAAGACATTGCTCATGAGCAATGGGCTGACATGCCTCAGTAACAATGCCAGAAGCTGGTGTCTGGCTATGCATCTCATTTGGAGCTGGTCAAAACAGCAAAATATGCTCTACTAAGTACGAAAGATGCTTGCCATGAAGGGGTTGAATACTTTTGAGATTGCAGAAGGCATTAAAAGTTGCAATTTTAATTGAATTTGGGGAAACCTTTGAAACATTTGATGTGTTTGCCTATTTCAATTGCTTTTGTTTGATATGTTCATTGCAAGCAGCTGAAAGTCTGCAAATTTTGCCAATACACCTGATTTCCAATGGGGGTTGAATCATTTTGAATACAACTGTATTTGTAATACTGTATAATATTCCACCTTTTTCACAGGGAGATGGTCTTCTTGGAGTGTTTGGACACCCTGTACAAAGACTTGTGGAGGAGGAAAAAGTGTGAGGCGCCGTATCTGTTCCAGTAAGACAGCTTCTTGTTCAGGGCGTTCCTTTCAAATTCAGATGTGTGGGAAAACTCCTTGTAAAGGTGAGGAAATGTGACAGAGAGCAACCTTAATTTTAAGTAGTAACAAAAACAATGGCAGAAGTTGAAAGCCTCTCAACAGAATGTGGGGCTCTTACAATGTTTACTGCACCCCGTACTGGTCTTTGAAATAAAAGAGACTGCATCCATTCAGAAGATATGTGCAATAAAATTGGCCACGGAAGTATTTGAACACAGGCATTTAACGGTGCATTAATAATGCCCGTAGCTCTTCCCTAGTGATTAGCTTCAAAGTTTGTCAAATAAAAACTGCATTGAAGGTTACATACACTTTACTACTACACCAGCTGTAGGTCAAAATGGATCAAAAGGGAATGCTGCCTTTGTGTCCACCTGATAAATAATCATACATCCCTGCTTGTGCAGTAACATTGCTGCACATAAAAGTAAACATTTAGAAAGTAGAAGCCCCATCTCTGACATCCAAACCTCTTCATCCCAGTCGGGGTTTATTTTTCTGAACACCAAATCCACTACCTCCCACTTTCGGGGAATCTGAGAAATCTGTCTCACCAAAATTATGAAGTTTGTATATTCATGGGTTATAAATAAGTATCCGTATCCACATTGCTGAGATATCATTAATCATTTTTGGAGCAATAGCAAGGAAATGGAAGATAGTATCTGATTGCATGCTGTGGGTAAACATACACAGTTTTTTTCTCTTCCATTTATTTTAGTATGCACGTTTTATAATGTAATTCTTGTAAATGAAGCTACCCAAACAAAATACAATGTGATTGTTGGATCTACCTGCTGACAGGATATAGGTAAAATTAATTGTTTAGATAGGTTCTCACACTACATAGATGTTGTATCTGTAAAAAAATAAGTCAAGGCAACTGACTGGACTTGCTGTATTTTTCTTGAAGACATTTCAATGGACATCCGACCAGCTTTCTCAATTCATATATACCATGACCTGGATGAATGAGAACCTTCACAGACATACATAGATGTTGGTAAATCTAAAGGAGATTACACAGAGATTGTACAATCACATAAAAAGTGTGTCCATACATTCTTAGATTCCCCTGCATTTGATCTGTTAGAGAAGTGAAATTTGGAAAGAACTATTCAATGTGAGGACCCACCTAAACATTCCATCCAAATGTTATCTAATAAGGTAGGTCCTTGCACTAGTACAAAGTTTTGCTGCTTTAGCAGATCAAAATGACTTAAATTTTAACAGAAATGTTGCCAGTCTTAACTTCTGCAAGTTACAAGCTAAATCCCTTTGTTTTTTTTCTTTAACAGAGAACTCTGAATTGTTGTGCACTGGGTGTCGTTGCAGCAACTATACTTTGTTGGGTAAAATACAGAGCATGCACGGCTTTGTCCTTTACAATGCCAAGGTATTTATGAATAAGAAGATCCTAGGAGCAACAGACCAACATGGCTTGTTTACTTTAAAAGGAGTATGTATGGATTCTCCCTCAAACATCACTGTAAAGATGGATGGATTCTCCTCAGTAACTTTGCAAAGCATGAGGAAAGAACCTAATGTTTCCTATTTTGAAGCTTCTTTGAAGAAATTAGGTATGTCAGTCATGAATAGAGATACATTTAATAACACTTTGGCTATTCAATAAGGCCATGCAAACCCATAACAACCAGATACCGTTAAGAGTTACTTAAATTAAATGTATGAAAGATTATTTCTGCTTTTGTTGCTATAAGTCACTTTACTTCCTTTATTGGATAAATCTGTTGAAAGTTATTTATTATGTTGAATGCCATATTTGAGTTGAGTTTAACCAATTCACATCAATGCTTACAATATATAGACTGCCAGTAAACATCAAATTATTATTGACCATTCCAGATGGTGACTGGATCAGGAAACAACCAAATGTCTATATGTACCCAGCATCCTCTACAGAAACTCCATGTCTTAAAAGATACCTGCAGCCAATACCTGTTTTGGATAGAGGGATGGGTTACAACCTTGATTATCTCTGGGTGTGGATCTGCGTGGATCTGTTAAATTTCTATGCTCCAGTTCCTGCAAAGAATATATTTTTAAATTCAAGACAGTTATGTTGATGTACTAAACAAGTAATGCATGTTCAATTTTCAAAGTAAATTTTCACTTAGCTTAGAGAATTAACCTAAGTTGATTGTTAAAGTCAGCACAGCTTCACCTCATTCACTAAGCTAAGTGAAAATTGACTGTGCAAAGTGAACTTGCGGTATTCCTTAAATGGTTGGATGTCCTTGAGTGAAAATGTGTGTTTTGCGCTCATAATTTTAACTTTATAGATAGGGCATTTGAAGATCCAGGCAATTCAGCAAAAGACAGAGAGAATAGAAGCCCCTTTAGGCCATCTTTTTAGCTTTCTACTATAAAATGGTGAATTACTTTGTACTGAGTAAATGGGAAAGGGCTTCAAAGGCCTAATAACGGACATTCTCAGCTGAAAATATAGGATAATGACAGACTTTTACAATGAAATTCCATAATGGTAGAGGTTGAAAAAAAGATGCAAGTCCGCAGAGGAAGGCAGAAAAACCCTCAAAGCATGATTTAATTTGCTCCGGAGCAAAAACATTCCTTCCTGATCCCAAGACAATCGGATATTGCCTGGATCAACAATCTCTGGTGTATTTTTACTGATAAAATGTTAAAGAAGAACATTCACTACCGCAGGACCGGGGATCAGGTAAGTATGTATGTATGTGTATATATATATATATATATAGTTTATTTTTCTTTATATTTTGTACAGTAATATATTACAGTACAGTATTGTAATCATTTTTATATGAATATTTTGGGGTTATGGAACGAATCATCTAAATTTCCATTATTCCCTATGGGGAAATTCGCTTTGATATACAAGCGCTTTGGATTACAAGCATGCTTCCGGAACGAATTATGCTCGTAAACCAAGGTATTACTGTATATATATACACACACACACGCACACACACATACAGGGCCCGATTTACTCTCTCTGCTGCCTGGCCCCAAGGCCAGTTTCTTCAATGCGCCCCCTAACATGGACAATCGCAGACCTGCAGGCTGCATACAAGTGATCTAGGCAACGTTGCTGAGATCACATATACAAAACAAGTGGCGGCTTCCCCACTGTACATTTAGCTCTGCTTGCCCAATGCAGGGCTAAATGTAGAAAACAACTACCCGCCCGGCACTGCATGTCCCGGGCATCGGGAGATACCCGTGCTGCCCCTCTACTCCCTGCTGCCCCAAGGCCTTGCTGGCCTTGCGGGAAATCCGGCCCTGTATATGAATATATTTTCTTTTTAACCTAGACCAAAACAGCCGCTTAATCCTTGCACTGTGGGGGTAGCCCCACTGCAAGGGTTAATTTTTGTAACTGTTTGGAGTTCTTTAATATCTAGTTATATTCTGCTCATTTATGAATACATCCAGATGTTTAAAACAATTAGCTTGGCTAGCTTTAACTAGTTCCTGAGTTCCCCTAAACAGATAATATTATTGATGATATTCAATAGAAAACATGAATCACAGCTGCTTTACCTATGTTACAGTACTTATAACAATTTGTTTCTCTTTTTTCCAGAAAAACCATACATGGTACAAAATCCCTACTCAAAAATCAGAAGAATAGGGCACAAAGTGACCCTGTGCTGTGAAGCAACTGGAAATCCAATTCCCACTAAATACTACTGGTAAGAATAAAATGTACTTGTTAAATTGCTGCAGAACAGTTGTAGTGGGAACACTGCTTAATAGCGCAAATATAAAGTATGCCTATAACAGCAAATTATGTTTCATAATTATTACAAAAACAGACATAGAAGAGAAAGCAAAAATTAACCTGCATCCCATGGAAGACTGCAGGGGATAAAAACAAGCCACAAAAAAATGGGTGCCAGCAGCTGTCAACTAGGGGATCTGAATGTAATATATACATTCTTGAAATATCTATTCTATTAGCAATTCCACCTGAGTCATATAATAGGAGAGGTTTTATTACCCCAGGGTATAATGCCTAGGAATTCAAGTGATAATATATTGAAAATCTGAGGACACAATTAGACTTCGTCCATATTTTGCCCATATCTGACTTACCACTTGAATTCTGAAGTATTATACCTTGCGGTAATAAAATATCTCCTATTATATTACTAAGGTATAATTGCTGGAACACATATTTCAAAGATGTATATATTACTTTCCGTTCCCCTAGTTAAAGGCTGCTGGCACCCAATTCTGTGCAGCTTGTTTTTACCACCTGCAGTCTCCCATGGAATGCAGATTACCCTTGGTATGACACCACATGTTTGTGATGTACTCCTATAACTACCCTGTTTCCCTGAAAATAAGACCTACCCCGAAAATAAGACCTAGTACTATTTATGGGAATTGCTCAAATATAAGACCTACCCCGAAAATAAGACCTAGTTGTGACCATTACTAGGGCCGGTGGTGGCTTAAGGGGGAACTTGAAGAGCCGCGGGAGAGGCAGGAGAGAATCAGCGGTGTCAACGAAGCCAGTGCTAGAGGAAGCGAGGCGGCACCGGAGGGAGCAGAGCCGCATAAGCCAATGTCTGCTCTATAGCGCCGGTTCCTGTCACAGGCGGAGTGATACCAAATGCACTCTGCCTGTGAGGTATGATAGTGAAAGTGCGCTTTGCTCATTCTGGCCAGCAATTGGTTACCATATTGCTCTTGAAAAGGTACGCACCCCTGATTGACCTGATCACCATATGTATATTCATATACATGAATAAGTGTGGATTGTTGTACATAAAAAAAATAAAAATAAATAAGACCTACCCCAAAAATAAGACCTAGTGTGTTTTTTGAGCCAAAAAAAAATATAAGACAGTGTCTTATTTTTGGGGAAACACGGTATATATGTGTATGTAGCACTGTAATACAATAACAATCTCATTGTAATATCCCTGTTTTGCGATTGCCCCATATGCTCTGAAGAAGCAGGCATAGCTCTACGAAACACGTCAAAAGTACCACTCTCCTACTACTGAGTTATCAGCATACTCTGGAAAGAGTTAGTACCTTTACAAACTGTAGAAGCTATGCAGTGGATAGAAAATTCAGTAGATATAATATGTAAGATGGTGTATAACCTTGAAAATCCAATCCATGTGAAAGTGTAAAATGTTTTTAAAGGTCTCATTATTCTGTTTGCATATACAAAAAAAATTTGTATTTTTATAAAAAATAATTTTTATTATTGACACCTCAAAAGTACTTTTTGTTTTCTCTTCTATGCACCCCAGGGATGTGGTGTCCCAACCCTGAATAGGCACACATGGCTTATGTCATTATACAAAAACCGGTATTACATTTTTAATAGCAGCTTACTATTGCTGTTTCTCTTAATGCTCACTTCACAACAACATTTGCTATGTAACCAATCCAGTAAAGGTTATTTACTCTTTGCTTCTGTATACCCTCAGTTCACTCCTGGCATCAAGTGAAAATTGCTTGTAATTTGAAATCACAATCTGAAATTCTTCATTCACAGTGAGGCATCCCTTGTAAGATATATTCATGCAAATGAGTCATTGGTGTAACTATATTTGTGACAATTATTTTTGTGATTAATCCACTTACCTAGTGAATATTCTTACTAAATTTACTCAATACACATAGCAGTAACTATTCCTATTTATGTTACTGAACTTTTTGCCTTTCTGTTAAAGGTATGTTAATGGAACATTAATAGACAAACAGAAATTCAAGTATGACAAGAGTTTAATTCTAAGAAACATTCAAGCCGCACACGCTGGAACATATCAGTGCAAAGCCAGCAATGGAGTGGGGGTTATCAGGTCCTCTGTAGCCCATCTGGAGGTTATAGGTAAGTAACCAATTAATATATTGTTATATATTTTCTAACAATGTTAACTTTTTTTGATTATAATATTTTTTGTTCTAGGTAAAAATGAATCCCTCTGTAACAAGTCCCCAGATGAGCATTTGATCAAGTTACCAACTGATTGTTTTCAAAATAAAACTGACTCTTATTACTACAATGTAGGCAAGTGTCCTAACTTGCCATGTGTGGACCACCTAAGCTCAGATCTCCAGTGTAAAGATAAAATTAACTACTGCTGTGGGGTCAAACAGATGAAACTGCAAGAATTGAAGTGTCCTAGATACACTCTCCCAGTTATGGTTGTTGTAGAATGTGGTTGTGCTGAGTGCACCCGACATAAGGTTATGGTTCGTGGACGAGTGACTGCATATGACACCGGGGAGCCACTTCGGTTTGGTCAAATCTTTGTGAGTGGAGAAAACATGGGATTTACTGGCTTTAAAGGGGATTTCACCCTGGAAGTTCCAGAGGGAACTAAAAGATTGGTGGTTACATTTGTGGATCGTCAGGAAAAATTTGTTGAGACTATAAAAGTAATTCCATTTGATCCAAAAGGAAATACTGTCTATCAGGATGTGAAAGTAATGAGAAAAAAAGACCCAATTGATCTAAATCCTACAGTGAGCAATACAATTTCTCTTGGAGAATTCCTTGGCGAGGACCCTATTGGAGAGATTATAATACCACCAAATTCCTTCAGCAGGACTTCTGGAGAATCCTACAGCAGTACCGTTAAGGCCAGTTTAACCTTCTTGGACCCTAGAAACATCAGCACTGCCTCTGCTGCTTCAAGTGATTTAAATTTTGTGAGTAGAGATGGAAATATTTCTCCCCTCAGGACCTATGGAATGTTTCATTTGGACTTCAGGGAGGACAGTACTAATTCCTTGCTTCAGACTGGTAAAGTGGAGGTGAGATTGAATGCAGAACAAATTAAGATGCCTCAACATGTCAAAGAAATGAAACTCTGGTCATTAAACCCACAGACAGGTCTTTGGGAAGAAGAAAGTCATTTTAAGTTGTCAGGTGGAGACAAAAGGAGAAGAAGGGAAGAGAGGTCTTTTTTAATTGGACAATTAGAAATACGGGAGAGAAGGCTTTTTAATTTGGATGTACCAGAGTTTAGGAGATGTTTTGTAAAGGTGCGGGCATTCATGAATGAGAAATTTATGCCTAATGAACAGTTAGAAGGAATAGTAGTGACACTAATAAATCTAGAACCTATGCCAGGATTTTCATCAAACCCTAGAGCATGGGGTAGGTTTGACAGTGTGGTAACAGGGAAAAATGGAGCTTGTCTCCCTGCATTCTGTGATGCTGTGCAACCAGATGCTTATTCTGCCTATGTCAGTGCTACAATGGGTGGTGAAGAACTTGAAGCCGCTCCATCTTCTCCTAAACTTAATCCCAATGTAATTGGAGTGACTCAGCCCTATTTATCTAAACTGAATTATCAACGAACTGATCATGAAGATTTTGCTGGTAAAAAGACAGCTTTTAAAATTAACCTGGCCAAGCCAAACCCAAACAATTTTGCAGAAACCCATGGCCCCATATATGCTTACAGAAACTTACGAGGTTGTGAGGAGGCTTCTATGTCGGACAACTACTTTCGATTTTTTAGAGTAGAAGAGGATAAATATGAGTATAATGTTGTACCATTTGATGAGACAGACTTGACCTCATGGATTGGTAGCTACCTATCCTGGTGGCCAAACCCACAAGAGTTTCGTGCTTGTTACATAAAGATTGGAATACAGGGACCACAAGAATACATGATTAGAACACGAAATATTGGAGGGACTCACACCCACACAGTAGGTCAGCTATATGGATTTAGAGACACCCGGAGTGTAAGGGACCTGGAAGTGAAAGGCAGTTCAGCAGCCTGTCTAGAATTCAAGTGTAGTGGAATGCTGTTTGACCAAAATTTAGTAGACCGAACTTTGGTCATTGTAACACCCCAAGGAAGCTGTCGTGTTACAAAGGTCAACAGACTTATAGAAGAATATCTCAGACGCCATCCACCACTTGCACCAGGAAACAATACTGACACATTTAATATGTTGGCTCCAGTTGACCCACTAGGGCACAACTATGGAATTTACACAGTTACTGACCAAAACCCAAGGCTTGCAAAAGAAATTGCCATTGGCAGATGTTTTGATGGTACCTCTGATGGTTTCTCTAGGGAGATGAAATCCCAAGTAGGTATTGCTGTCACTTTTAGTTGCCAAGAGAAAGCAATCACACGCGAAAGCTTCTTTCAGCGCTTGCTAAACAATCCAAGTGAAACACTGCGTGAGGTCCGCCGCAGCATGCAGGAAAATGAACAAAGAGGGACACCTGCACGTGTTGTCCCTTATCCTGCTCTTCAATCTCCAGTTTCTAGCCAATCCAAGAAGAATTCTGCCAGTCAGAGAAGAAGACAATGATGCAATCAACATAAATTTATCTTCGCAATGCTGAGACTGAGTTAAGGTTTTGTGAACTCAAATAAAGTCCCCAGTTACCTCTTATCATAAATGAAGATGCCAGGAAATCCAAAAGTGTACTGTTTAGTTATAGGTGGCTTCGTATAACCTGGGGACTTATGCATCAAGAGCTACCTTTTATGACTCTTTTCAAGTTATATGCCCTGGGAGTAAAAGCACAGCAAATGACCAAGATTTATAACAAACTGTTAACTGGTTTAACTATTCAGCATACAAAAGAACTGAAATCAGTTTTTGCTGTACTGAAACTTTGATTTGGTAATTGCCTTGAAAGAAATCAGAGATAACACAATTTTTTTAATATCCTTTATCTTCAGGACTCTAAAGCAGGTCTGTACTGATATAAAAGTAACCCATCACTAAAATGTGTAGCAGTTACCTGCATGTTGTCTTTTTTTCCAAGTATCCTGAAACATAGAACACTCTAATATGCAAACCTCAACTTCATTTAGGAAGATGGTGCGTTGCCCTATGCATGGGTGTTGATAGGGCCTAGCCACCAGGACACCTATCCTGTATCTCTTGTGGGATGTCCCTGGTTCCAAGGTCACAACTGTTCATCATTTTGATGCCATCGTGCCAGGTATGGACTGGGTAGAGGTGCATTTGTATCCCGGGCTAGTGCCTCCCTGTGTAAAAAAACTCTCGTTTATTCGCGCATATGGATACCTCCCCTAAATATATATTGTGACAGTCGCAGTGAGAAAATCAGAGGACATGTGAATAATTCCTCTCATCAAACAATGGGGGGAATTTATCAAAGCAATTGCGACAGTTTTAGCCCTGTTAGATAATTTTTTTATGTGCAAATCTGTCTTTTAACATGTGCCCCTGTTTTGACCAGAGCTTGCACTACTTTTCCAACTGCACGTGTTTTGCACCGGTTTTCTTCAGAGCTTACACTACTTTTTCAACTGCATGTTTTTTTGCACCTGTTTTCTTCAGAGTTTGCACTACTTTTTCCAGTTGTATGTTTTTTGCACGTTTTTTGCACACGTTTTCATCTGCACTTGTTCTGGGCTGTCTGAAACTGGAGCATCACCTAAGAAAACAATCACAACTTAAGAAGTCCCCATGACCACTTCAAGATGTGACAAGTTAAGCTTTTTGCCTGGAGTTACAAGTCTTCTTTCCTGGAGTCTATTAAACCTCATTTATCAACAACATTACACCAGCAACATAAATCTGGTGCCAATATATTCTGTGCAAGTTCAAACACTCGCATTTGCTATGATAAATTCCCCCCAATATAAAACTAAAAACATTGCGCTATCTGCCCCCTTTTAAATCTCCTCCGATGAATGACCAGCGGAGGGTTAATGAGTCTCAATACAACCCAAAAAACACCTCAGTGTCCCAAAAATTACCACACAGTTAACACAACTGTATAGACAGTGATTAAATATCATAAAGTGCAAAAAGTTCATAGGAATAGTTGCATGAATCGATTAATCCAAATCAGCCAATTTTTTTCCATGCGCCACCTTCGTGCAATCAGTCTCTCTTTTTTCCACTCACCAGATCCTCAAGTTAACAAAAAAACGATCCTTAAAATATCCCCTGAGATCCTCTCCTCTCTGGTATTTTGATCTCTATCAGGATTCCACTCATAGCCTCGATCTTTCAAAACAATTTGGTTAATTCATCAATAATACCCTCATTTCCTTGTATAAGTAATCTCCTCAACTTACAAATTTTGTATCCATCAGGAGTTTAGTTTCCAGATATCCAAAAATCAAAAACACTGCACATAGCATAAAATCCATAGATACATTTATTGCAAAAAATGTAAAACTTACATGAAAACTGATGCAAGTCAGCACTGTACTTAAAAACAGGTTACAGCCAATGTGTAACTTTTCCACCTCTCAGGCTTTCAAAGATAAAATCACACCGTCAGGTTTATCAATCAGATGCCTAGCAGGTAAGACAACGAGTGCGCACATTGTCTTACCTGCCAAAGATCTGATATATGCGTTGTATTGAGACGCATTAACCCTCAGCTGGTCATTCCCTGTGGCTGCCCTGCTAAATAGTCTTCCAGCTAAGGCAGCTATGTCCCACAAATGGCAGGCAGACCTTCGGACCTTCCAGGTTTAAGAAGTGACTTCCTGTACCTCGTGGCACTTTTAAGTATTCAGGCTATGTGCGCTTGCAAAGTAAGTGGAGAAGTGATCTGGAGGGAAGCCAAGTCCTTCATCTGTAGCTGGGAATGTGAATCTTTCAAAAAAATTATATATAGTGATTTTTGTGGCACTGGGTCTAATGTTAAAAATGTATGGGTTAAAGTAGTTACCCGTTTCACACCTTGCCCATTCTGTACGCTGCTCTGTACATTCTCTGTTCCACATCATATGATTCTGTATGCTGTGCTGTAGGTTCCCTATTCCACAACGCCTCATTCTGCAATCTGCACTGTAAGTTCTCTATTCCATACCGCCGCATTCTGTACTCTGCACTGTTCATTCCCTATCTCACACCACTTCATACAGTACTCTGCACTGTACGTTCCCTATTCGACACCTCCTCATTCCGTATACTGCGATGTGCATTCATTTCGTACTCTGCAATGTAAGTTCCCTATTCTTCACCACCTAATTTTGTACTCTGCAGTGTTCATTTCCTATCTCACACCATTTCATTTTGTACTCTACACTGCATGTTCCCTATTCCACATTGCCTCATTCTGTACTCTGCATTGTACGCTCCCTATTCTGCACCACCTCACTCTGTACTATGCATTGTACATTTGCTATTCCACACCGCCTCATTCTGTTCTCTGCACTGTTCAGTCCCTATCTCACACCACTTCATTCTGTATGATGTGTTGTGTGCTCCCTATTCCACCCACCTCATTCTGTATACTGCACTGTGCATTCATTTTGTATTCTCCACTCTACATTCACTATTCCTCACCTCCTCATTCTGTGCTCTGCAGTGTTCTTTCCCTATCTCACACCACTTCATTCATTCTGTACTCTGCACTGTATGTTCCCTATTCCTCATCACCTCACTCTGTATGCTGCACTGTGTGTTTTCTATTCTACCCCACCTTATTCTGTACACTGCGCTGTACATTAATTCTGTACATTTCATTGGAACTTTCCTATTCCACACCTCATTCTGTATGCTGCCCTGTACATTTTCTATTCCACATCACCTCATTCTGTACTCTACCCTGTACGTTCCCTATTTCACACCACATTATTCTCTACACAGTGGTGTATTTTCCCAAATCCACACCACCTCATTCTGCATGCTACACTGCACACTCATTTTGCACATTGCGTTGTGCATACCCTAATTCGCACCTCCTCATTCTATATGCCGTACTGTATGTTTCCTATTCTATGTGTGCCTGTGAGATTTTCAAAGTAATGATATCATATTTTGTGGATATAAGGAAATAATATAAGTGTGCAGTGTGTACAGAGAGTAGGTTCAGGATCTGCTTAACCATTCCTCTATATTCCACTCCCCTTTAAGGCACTCCCACTGCTTTGCCCACCAAGACAAGGTTACTTTCCATGGTGTGTCTAAGGGTGCCCCAGGTCTTTCACATTCCTAGCCACACCCCCGACCCTACCCCTTCCTATCTACTACTTCACTTTGTTGGACTGACAATGTAAAGTTGAAAGCGGTGGACTAAGTCCTAACTTGACAGAAAAATTTGAGTTTTCACGCCAGGGCTGGATCTGCATGCAGGCACTTGGAGGTGATTGCTATACAGAGACAGATTACTTACTTTTGTACCACTACAATTACACATTAAATTTGATATCAGATATTACAGGCTACAAAGACAATATTTTGTAGTAAAAGTTGTAATAATTATTAGTGCATTTAGAACTCATAAAATCTATGTATCCCTCGCAGTTATGTTATTAAAAAACAGATGGACAGCAGTCAAAAACTTTTATATCTTACTGAGCCAGAATTTAGTTAACAGTGGAATTTAGCAGATATGAGCATTTACACATAAATAGGTAGCACAAGCTTTCCTGATCTTCCACAGATGAAAACAAATAACCACAGTATTACACATGGCTTTATCTGAATGGTAAATGAGAAATACTTGAGCATTGAAGTGGAAGCAGGAACTGGTTATTACTTGTGCAGGCTTCTCTGTAAGCTCCCCAATTTTGGGAATTTTTTCTTAAACGTCATTATTGAAGGTCATAAGTAGTGGTAAAATTCCAGTGGATAACTGGCAAAAGTTCCGCCTTTTATGCACCTTTTAATTCAATATGCATTGAAATGGAGACTGTATTTGTTGTTTTTGTAATAAATGTTCAAATAAAAAGAGTTCAAAAATAAAACGTATCAGCAATAGATATTGAAGCTTGAAAAGGAATTATAAAAGGCCTGTTAGGGTGGCTGTTAGCTGTCCCAGACAATCCTCCCACCAATTACCCTGTTCACTGAAGCAGTATTAGATACAGGTGAAAGCAGACTTTTAAGCTGGCCATACACCTATAGATTTTCTGCAGATTTTCTATGGTCAGATGGAAAAAGTGTACCAAATTCTTCCATCTACGCTACACTGTGTGGGTGGATTGGATGCAGGCATTGTTCAAGTATTTTGAGAGACAGCGGGGCTGACTTGCAAGATACTGAAGCTCGGCCCAGTTGGAGAATCCTCCATCCACACAGTTTAGTGTAGATGGAGGAATCTGTTGCACCTTTTCCATCTGACCATAGAAAATCTGCAGATAATCTATAGGTGTATGGCCAGCTTTAAAGTATATACAGTAGTGTGTCTTTCTAGAATTTGCATTAATTCTAGTAGTCAGGCAGTGGTATCCTCCAAATCTGAAAGGGAGCCTGGGCTGTCAAGGGTAACCGCTTTTAAGACAGGTTTGCCTAAAATGCCTTTACAAAATGATGTACTTAAAAACTTTTTGTTTCTTTTTAGATAGCATGGGTAAGGGTTAGCACTC